TTCGCGCACTCGACACGCACGATCTCCGCAGAGGGTTGCGCGGGCATCGTTAGGACATCTCCCGTGCAAGTTTTCCATACTCATACTTGCATACTTGCACTGGGATTGCACTGGGATACTTGCATACTTTTGCACTTGGATACTTACACTGGCATACTTGCCCTTGGATGCTTTTTACCCTTACACTGGGATACGTATAGACGTGTACGTATTCAAGTGTCAGTGTGGAAGCGTAAGTGTTCAAGTACACAGTGTAAGTGTAGAAATGTCAGTGTTCAAGTGCCAGTGTGGAAGTGTCAGTGTGTAAGTGTAAGTGTCGAAGTGTCAGTGTTCAAGGGATTTTCCGGAAGAACCCTTCGCAATGCTTTCGGGAATGAGGGAATCAGCATGCAAGCAGGCAAGACTGATTCTGTCACGGTAGTGCATGAAAGCGATCCATGAATGCCTGTTTTCAGCTTTGCAAGTGTGCATTGCACATTACACAAACAACGCTAAGTTCTTGAAATGGTTCTGCAAACAACAAATATCCCACCATCTGCAGCCTTTGAGTATCTTTCAGTAGCAAACTTCATCGAACGTAGCTTTCACCATTCACATCCACCTACAAGCTTGCAAACTCTGCGCGCGGTTGAAAAAATCGGCGCCCAAATCGGCGCTCCGTTTGCCTGGGCAAATTCTGACGCCGGTGGATTCTGCGAGCCACCTGACGCTCTGACGGATAACACGTTCTGCGCGAAGCGAGGCAGAAGAATTGGTCAATTTGACACTGAAACCGAAACCAGTGATGGTCGCTACCCCGAACCAGCTCAAGTTGGCATACCGGCCCGGTGGGGACGTGGCACTGACCACAAAAACATCCTCAGTACCTACAGGAGCAAAATCAACATCTTAAACTTCCAATTGACACGGACAGCTGGCAATGCACAACCCGACCCAAACGATGAAGATGTTTCTGTCTTGAAAATTGCACGGATGTTAAATGGGTTCCCTTGGCATCCCAAACAACAATGACCACGATGACGACAACAACGACCAAAATGCCAACGATGATAATGCTTAGGCAACTGTCGAATGCCTGATGAATTGCCTGATGAATCATTGTACGTGTTGTTACTGTTCCAAGGAAGTGCTTACACCACAAACATTACACAGGTCGATTGTTCCGAACATCTGACTGCACAAAGCAAAATGTTCAAAAGCAGTTGTTCTGCAACCATGAGCACAAGCTGTCATTTGCAAACAACTTTGTAGAGGTGAATTGCATTCAACAAGAGTCCTATCGGATCCTAAGCCAAGAATTCACACCTTTGCTAAGTTTCCAGAAAACTCTAGCTGGCTGGTCCGACAATAACCCAAACAAGTGATACGTCCTCCGCTCCAGGAAGAGCGACAAGAAATAAAGTCTTCCCTGGAGAGTCAAACTTCAGTCCCTGCGCCACTTCCCTGGCACCTGCACCCGCGCAGCCATTTCAATGCGCAATGCGATCTGGCTGTACAGCTCTATACAGAAAGTCTTCGCAGAAGCCCAGTCCAGGCAGCAGCACAACAAAAAGGAATCAACCCAAATTCCTCAACGCAGCCTGCGTTGAGGAATTTTGTTTGATTTGTACTTGTTTACCATCCTCCGCGCAAAGGCCTGGACTATGATCCACAAACTTGGTCCCAGCATCTTGTCTCTACAGCATGTGCACTGGAGCACGCAAGCGCACCCCAACTTTGCGTTGGCAGCAGCGTGTGCAACGCAGTGCAATGCTGATCTGGTTTGTACAGGGTTAGAAAAAGAGTCCGAGTCCTGGTAACAAAATTAGCAACTCAACCCTTCATCACAAAAATGTTGTACTGTCCTCGCCCTGAGGGTTGTTCAAAGCTTTGTCATTGAGAAAACTCTGCGCATAGTTTTGTAAAAACTCCCAGGAGACCTCAAAAAGGCAGGGTTGAGACGCATGTTAAACAATCTTGATACAATCTCCTTGCGTCCTGGATCGTCAGGGGTACTGTACTTGGTATATCACGGTAAGAACGGCTCACGATCGTCATCCTCGTTGCGTTAGTCCTCGTCGCGTTAGTCCTCGTCAGCGTCATCAATTGTTTCACCCTGTTCGTGCTGACATGAAAAATGTTTAAAAGTGCTCGGTGCTTTTCTCTGCAAAATTAACTTCGGTGAGCCTTGTAACAACCCAAGTGTTGTTATTCTGCAGAAAAAACAACTCAAAACAACTTTGCGACAATCTCCTGGCGTCAGCGTTGACCACGTTATTCCACGGTATCCTCGTCATCGTCATCCCGCTAACCCCTTGTCAGCGTAAACCAGCTGCTTAGCCTCCTTCCTGCTCAGCGGGCCTTGGATACTCAAGAAGTTGATCTACATCGCACGTCTTAATGTCTGGTACAGAGAACATCCTGTGCCCAACTGTGGGGTTGAAGGTCTTCCAAAATATTAGCGGAAAGGTCCACATGTGCAAAACAACTCAGATGTGAAGGGATGGTTGGGGAAAAGCGAAAAGTGAGAGAGGATTGATAGTGAATGGCTGAGTGAGAGAGCGATATGAGCAAGAGAAAGTGTGTAAGCTACTCAATACAACGACGACCACTTTCAGCCAATATAAAACGCAGGAAGCTGACACCTCTTTGAGCGCGTCAAGCATGGGGTCGAATGATCCTGACAAATGACTGACTCTGTGACCAGCGTCCTCCCAAGTATGCTGGTGAAGCGAAATGCTCACCAATCATCAATCGAACGAGTAGCTGCTTGTCTCGCTTTTCTTCATTCTCTCCCCTCCTGGAATTTGAGAAGGACTTGGTCTGGAGGGTTGACAACCACTTCCGCTACATTCTGCGGCATCTGAGACATTGATGGCGCCCCCCCTCTTGCGATGAATCTCTGGCTAGATCGTGAACACGCCTATCCATGAAGCGCGGGCATCGAATTCCAGATTCATCGGTCGCCTTGCGTCTGTAGTGGCCTTGATCAACTGGTGCCGGTAACGTTCCAACATTTGTGCCCTGTTTGCAAAATGAGATGCCATGTTTCACTCCATATGAAGCTTGATGATGCGCTTGTACTATTCTTATAGACACGCGGCGGTGAACACCTTCAATCGACCTGGCGCAGCTGGGGTGATAGCACTGACCGCTTGAAGCCGAAGTCGCCGCCTCGTACCTGAGCATGAACAAAGCAGCCTGTAGACCCGCTTGCTGCCCAAGCCTCGAATGCCCCGGGATGTCTGGCCCTTTGGAGGTCGCATCTTGTTGCAGAACCCAGCTCCTGGCTTTCATCTGCTTCACTGAGAAGTCGGCGTATGGTTCTCCACGAGTCACCTTGGCTTTCAGTGCATCAGCTTGTTCTGCAGTTTGCTCAGAGTCTGCCAGTGGATCGGCTCCTTTGATCTCAAGGTGGAAGTGGCACGCTTTGTGGATTTCTGTTTGAGACAGTTGAGGCACTTCTTACTCGTCCGGCACTGAGGGAGGCTTCACTTCCTCTGTGAACCACTCAAAGCCACTGACTGCCCACCTACAAGCACCGCTGGCGTGTGGGTCGGTACTGCATCCGCAGTGCGGTCTACGTCCTCCATTCCGAAGAGCAGCCCCGAAGTGCGTCCCATCAACGCCAACTGAATTCTTCGACAGTTGTAGGCTTGCGGGGGTCGCCACCGCCAGCAACAGTGATTCGCTGAGGAGGCTGAGGAGAAGACATACACTGAAGGCAAGTCGCCCAACAAAGTGCTGAACTGATTCCATGTGCTTTCTGCAGTACCCCCAAAGTTCTACAAATAACTAGCTGATTTTGTGTCAGCAACACTTCATCTCTGGGGCAGCTTGGTCCCCAGCCTGCATTGGTGGAGCACGGAGTAATCACTGAAGATCGACCAACAAAACCACACCCCGCCAGAGGCTCCTGCGTTCCCTTCAAAACAATAAAAACTTCAAAGTCATGGCATGAAGAAACCTGGGTCCTGTCAGGTCCTTGTAGCCAGAATTTTACAAGGCACAGTGAAAGTGAACAAAACCACACCACTTAAAGAAGCTTCTACCAAACCATACTTATCACGTTCATGGGAACTCAAAGGTGACAATTAGATTGGAAACCAGCGCCACCACACCTCTACCAAATTCAAGCAGTTAGAAGAATGACAGTTGGGCACTTGTTTCAAGACTACCAACCTCACGATGTCTTGGCCAAGCAGCGCATCCACCTGTGCATGAGGCTCTTGACCTTCCGAGCGATCTTGATGCTTTCTCACATACTCGCGCCTCAAGTGGCCAGCGGACATAGGAAAGGAGAGCATCCTGCGCTGTTTACTGAGGGCAGTGATGGCTTGTTGGGTGACGAAGGGTCATGTAACGATGTCTGAACCTCTATTTTGTCAACTTCTTTTCTCTCAGAAAACTCTAGACTCCAGAAACCTCTACTCGCGGTTCCTTTTCTCTATAAACTCTTTCTTGGGCTTCTTGTCTCTAGACTCTAGACAGCTTCACCAATCGGATTGTTCTCTAGAAGTGTCTTTGGTTCCTCTTGTTAGAAGTTTCTGCATTTGGCTGTAGTTCTCTTGGAACCTCTACTTTTGGAAAGGTAGACATGTCTGCTGTTTGCTTTCCCTAGAAGCCTTTCTTGTGGCTACTGTTCTTTAGGCACTTGCGGCTAGAAATCGCATGCCTTTGGCTACTTGTTTCTACTTTGTCTACTTTTCTCCAAAACTCGCCGCTTTTGGCAACTTTCTCTAAGAGCCTTCTACTTCCACAGGCCTTTCTCTGCTAAGTTTCTAACTCTTACTTTGGGCAACCTTTTTAGAAACCCATGCTTTCGAAAGCTTTCTCTGAAGAACCACTTGCGGATACCAGCGCTGACAACGCATGCATTCTGAAGAAAATACTGTGAAACCAAGCACTTGTCCAAACCATCTCGGGTCATGCACCTCATTAAAATGGATCCTGGAAGCAATGTCTGCTGATCTGGGAGCAATCAAACTGATACGAGGCCCCCTGCGAGTTCGGTTGCGCGTGCCCGTTGAAAAGAAAAACATCGAGCTTTGCCTTTTGTGAGTTTCTCTTTGACATCCAATCACACCCCTGTGCCTTGGGATCTGGTTTGTCACCGAGAAACTGCTTCTGGTCGATGAGTTCCTCATCCACGTCGGAATGCGCATCGCTCAGAGGAATCTGGCCGCGCTCGCCTCATTGCACGAAAGGTCTCTTGCGATGCAAATCCACACCTCGCAGTCGCTTCACAGGAGCTTTGCACACACCCGTTCAAAGCATTGCGCCATTCATTTAGACAACCGTATTGCTTCAAGCAATGCTCGAAAGAGCCCACGGCTAAGATTCCCGCATGTCGGGCACCATCTCGTGTTCAAACACTGCACACCTGGCACTGCAGGCTGCGGTCTGCCGCCCAGTCGCCAAAACGTTACAGTAACCCCAAAAGTCGGATGTTGTTGCATGTTTCTACAAAGTTGCGCATACTTGCCTTCTTGAGGCTCTCCACACGGACCTTTTTGCTGAAGTCTATGCAAACATGTTTAGATATGGTATGATAGGACAAACTGGCCGGGCAAACACATCCGGCACGCCCATCCGCAGGAGCATAGATGAAGCTTACAAGGTCCTATGATGCAGCTGTCCATCTCCGCGAAGGTGCACACGGCTGTCATGGCAACAAACGAGAAACGGAGGTGTCAGAAATCAACCTTGCTGGTCCTTGAAACTGATCACCCAAAACTGTCCACTCCCGAACCACTGTTTGCAAAGACGTGCAAATGAAACAAACACATGACCTCGGCGAATGATGGCTAGGACCAAACATAATTTATATGAAGAGTTGAAGAAGGGGATAAGCACCAAAAAAATAACTGAAGACAAACAGACTACCCACCCTTTCCTCAGCAACCGTTTGCTGGAAACGGGTGAGGACTAGAACTGATGAGTCCAAAACTACCTCCGCATGTTGTTTGCTGGAGCCCTTATGTAAACCAACCAAGCAGGTTATGAGGACTAGAGCCACAAACAACCCTCTTCCCAGCAACTGCTTGCTTTAACCTTCAGGCTAACAAAGAACAAGTCATTTGGGTGCTGTCAGCTAGGTTCGACAAGCTGGAGCCCTAACAAATGGAGTAGACCTATAGACAGAGGGGTGGCATGCACACCAAAAGAACATCACTTTAAACAAAGACAAACCGCTTAGTCGCGGTCGCAGTGGTAGTGGTGCAAGGGACAGGATGAAACCAGTGGTCTACAGGCAGAACCCGTTTTGCGCAATTGTGCAAAGATTCACAAATGGATTTTGGAAGCACGAGCTGTGTGGTTTACATCCCTTGCGGACACGCATGGCAACTTTGCGCCATGCCATCATGACTCCCCAGCAGGATGCTTTGGGAGCCATGGAGCCGATACCGCTGAGGATGGACGAGATACAGGAGTTGAACATGCACATTATCAACCCCACCTCCAATTGCAAAAAACATATAGAACCAGCTAAATGGTTGAATTCTTGAAATGTTTCACCCTGGTGAACCGAGTCACTACACATGTACGTTGTGGTGTGTGTGGGAGAGTATGCACAGATGCAACAGCACATAAATATATTTGTGATATACATGCGTGACACTGATGTAGACACAAGCAACTCTAAGATCAATAGGTCTCAGAACACTCCTCCAGGGGGCCTACTAATCATTCATCAGCACCCACCCTATACATATAGTATAATGATATAATGATATGATATAATAGAGAGAGAGAGAGAGCTCCACAAAAAGACGTGGCGGTTAACACAAGCACATACTGTACCCAGCGCCCTTGTGGTAAACACTCTACATAGATTGACTGGGAGTCACCTCATAGTCGACCTGGGACAACACACTACCCTGCGGGCAGCGCTTGAGGTGTTCATCGCCAACGACAGGGACCAATAACAATCCCTAGCAGTAGGCATCTGATCTGAAATGATCTGACTATCATTATTTCTCAGCATGTCATCGTGGTCATCGTTTTGCCACTAGAAATCCGGATTGGGACCACTCAATAGGCCTCCTCGACCAACGCGGTCTTCCCTACGCCGGGTGGACCCAGTAGGCAAACCTCAGCACCAGGCTGAAGACGCATCTCGGGTTGGTCCAAGAAGTGCTTGAGGACTTCGGGTTTGTAGCCCACCCCCAGCCTTCCAACCACGGTGTACGCTTGAAGAGTTCGTTGTACAAGCAGGCATCCAACTTCCAGTTCTCAGCTGGCAACGTTCGGCTTGTTCCGCCGCGCCAGGACGTGTAAAACACGCTGAACCTCCTGGCAAACTTGCGAGTCTGGGTCACAGGTATGATTACCTTGACAAACCTTGATGTTAATTGGATTGCTTGATGATCATTGACCAGATCCATGCTACTATTCTTTCGGACTTCTGCTTAGACCATGGAAAAGACCAAGCACCGGACCCACAGTCAACCACCAGTCGCCCTTGCGGACACCTTGCCTTCTCACGGCCGAAAACCGCGTCCAGCCGTCCGGCCGCCGCCTCCAACACCAAATCCTGGGCGACGAGGGCAGCCACAACGGCCGGCGGCCACGACGGCACGCATGAATCATTTTCGGACGTCGGGTACCGGATTTAAAAAGCTCGTGTGACGCAAGCATCAGAAATAGGATCATGGGCTGAACCGGGACATTGTTAACATGAAAAACCTCTTCTCTTTCCTTACCCATTCAGATAGCAAACTTGGCCTTCCCGAAACGTGCCAGTACGGAAGAGGAGTCATCCTGGCTCAGCACATGGACTGCAAAGAAAGGCTACCCAACCACCACTCAGCGGTTGCCACAACTCCTTCAAGGACTGTTCCAACCAGCATCTGTTCAATCTTTCGGAGCAATATTCTAACGTTCACTGACTGATTGTCCTTGGCCCAACCACACATTGGCTCCAAAACCCAGAAGACCCTCCAAAAAAAAGAAGGAAAAGAAATCAGAAAGCTGACAGAGTCTGGCAGAACCCTGCCAGAATCTTTCTACCCTGTTCACCACTACGGGAGGACCCCATGAATCCAGGCTGCAAACCAAGCACCTCTTCGTCCTGAGTGGCACCTTTGGGCCTTGTCGCTGCAAATGTCGTGCGAGCTGACGGTGACCGAGCTAACTTCAACCGACAACCCTGTTCGCCGAATAACAGAGGTCTAAAATCACTTCAACTCTCTAGTAGCTCCATTGGACATGTCTCGGTGCTTGAACCTTGACCTAACCATTCCCAAGCAATCCTTCTTCACATTCCAGTCTAAACCTCCACCCAGTTTCCGATCTGACCAAAAGCCGCCTGCCTCTCGCGTTGCATCAGCGGCGTCCCGGAGGCTCTGGGCCTCGGCCCCTTGGCCCCTCGAATCCTCGAACAGAAGCCTCTGTCCTCCGTGCTTGGCCCGCTTCGGATTGCCATGCTTGATATCCGAAGTACCATGTCCTGAGGGCCCCACGGAGGCACCAGGCTTTGGCCGGACGCCTGTTTGAGCTTGGTAGATGAACCGCAAGTCCATTGAACTTTGAAAAAAAGCGCATTAAAACTGGAGAAAGCGGTATCAATGGATGTGGGTCCAACTGGTGCCTGTAAGGAAGTCCGCAAGCCCTCCGCCGTCAAGCCGTTGGACTGAAGCAGCTCTGCCAAGCCTTTTGCACCGTGCAAATCTGAGGAGAACAAACAACGACCCTTCAATACGGCAAAAGTGCCCGTGGTTCAAAAAGACCTCTGTCGTCCTGCCGATATGAAGAGAAGAGTGGGGGATCTTCGATTGACCTCCATAAGCTTTTGTGCCTACCTTGGTTAAACTCCGCATATTTTTTTGTATCTTCACCTACCAGGTGAATCAAAAGGGCGTCTAATGTTTTTTGGTATATATTCACCTATCTGCAAGGGGTGTCTAATGAGCACCCCTTTCAGTAACACATTCCCGATGTAAGAGAACCCAAGTAACAATTCCGATTCAAGAGAACAACGTGAAAAGATCCCGATGTAAGAGGACAAGGTAGAACCACGAAATCCGAGATCGGGCGACACGGAATGACACGGTATGGGCTTACATCGGGTTTTCTTAAGGTGTGTCCATTGGACACTCCTTAGGCTTAAGGGGTGATCAATGAGCACCCCTTGGTTTTGTCGGGTTTTGACCACCGACAAGGAATGACACGGATTGACACGCAGGCGGCTGACGTCTCCAGCGACCCGAATCCCAAATCCTGTCCATTCACAAGTATCCCTTAAAAAGTTGTGATTTTATACGAGGATCCCTCAAAAGCACTTGTCAAACACTTAGATTTCTAAGGCGTGTCCAATGGTTTTTAGCTTAAGGGGCGTCCAATGGACACGGTTTCGATCTACCCGGTATGTGTATCCGCGATGTAATCCATGACCCCAACAGGTCGACCACACGTGCTAACAGGGTCACTTAGAGAAAGCATGCTTCTCATGGCTTTACACCAAGGCTCCACACCCAAGTGTGGCATAAAGAGCGCGGCACAAAGGTCTCGCAAGCCCACCTGGAAAACACGACCCGTCGAGCGCCATGAGCTCCCGGGTCGAAGGAACCGTCCAGCGGTGGAGCGTTTTGGGCCTTCAAGTGAATAAGACTCCAAAGCGTTCTTCCCACAAAAAGAGAATAGAGATGTTTTGTTCGCGTAAAGGTTGGAGGCCATCGCTTCAGCGTCTCTCTACCTTAGCAGGAGCTCGTTGGGCAGCAGCGGCATCCAGCAGGCTTTGTAACTCCTGCGAGCCGAAGTGCTACATCGCATGCTCTTCCAAAGCCGTCGCTTCGTGATGGATATCAACTGAACCTGAACCTACTAAACCATGCTAAACCCATTTAAGTTCAATCCATACCTAGTCTGAAGTGTTCGCGAGGAGCCGCCTTTCACTCAAAGCCACGGCTCCTCGTTTGGGGTCCAATCATCACCTTATGCCAGGGTTGCGGTAACCATCTGAACCACCGGAGAACATCACAAGACCACTGCACAACTTAACAATGAGCATCAAAAGTTGGACCACCTTGCAAATAGCTGCGGATCACCACTCCTTGCTGGCACCCGTCTGCGCTCGCTTGAGCAGTTCGCTGGCGGCACCAGGGACGTTGGCACCTGGCAGTGATTTCGCAAACCCTCCACTCTGGGATTTTCCCTCCATGGTGATGTCGGGCGAATTGCTTGGGGTTCCCGTTGAGAGTCATACACAGGGCGCTGTTGAGAGTCATGCACCTGTGTCCAATCGCTGTGTCTGAAGTAACTTAGTAACCTGGACATGAGTCGCCCTACCTCTTCCGGCAGTTGACTCAGGGTAGAGGGCAACGGGCAACGGTGAAGTGGACACCCTCAATCTTTAGAGTAGCGAGCTCGAGAGGCAGGCCCGTGTGCAGCAAAAAAAAGAGAGAAAAGTCAAAAAACCATGACAAACCTGCATCACACGCCATCAACGTGTTTCAGGCGCTCCAACGTGTTTCAGGCGCACTATGACACTGGAGCCCAACAGAGTCAGAATGGCTTCAAGAAGTTCCATCAATCCTGGCCCCCTCTCGATCACAATCAGGCGGATCGACCCCAAGGCGTTGGTGCCCCAGTAGTGCCCAGAACCTCTCGACGTAAAGCGGGGGGAAGAGAAGCCCAAAGTGCTGGGGCCCTGGGGTGGGGCACGGAGTGAAGAAGAATGACCTTCTTTTGTATGGTTTCGTGTCAAACAAGTAGTGGCCACCGGAGTAGAGAACCACCGGGAACTTGGAACTCAGCCATAGGCCTTGGCGGCCTTGGCCTAGAACAACTTAACTCTTGAGTCTTGGGAATCTGCCCAAGCTTTTCATGTTACTCTCCTCCAAGCCCCAGTTTCTCTTGATCAGGCCCAACAGCCAACAGCACTCTGCCTCGGCCAACAGCACATAGGCCACATGAGCCTCAAGTGGGCTTGTTGGCAAGATGGAGAAGAAAAAGCATGAAAAGTTATGTATGTCCTCGATCACACTTGGGATGCCGTTTGATTGCATTTCAGCAAAAAAAGAGCACAAATATGATGTCATCCCACCCAGAATGGAGTGCATGCAATTGCAAAGCGACAGCTCTGACGGGTTCAAAGTCATCACCTCCATCACCCGCTTTTCGAACAAACTGGACAATCGTGCGGCAACAACAATAGCAACCTTCTGTTCGTTACCTTTGGTACATTGGTCATCGCAAACATGCAAAGCCTACATTCCCTCCTCTAGGGTCTGGGACCACGTGCTGAATTGCATGAGACACCCTGCTGGGCAGAGAGCTCCTCAGAACGCCTTAAGGCCTGCACGAGTACATGTGGGTTGGGACAGGTAGGCCCGGAACATCCTCTTTCCGCAAGGTACAAACGGATCAAACAGGCGAATTCAAATTGAGATGGCTTTCTACAGATTCTAAAGGAAACCTTGTGAAAATCCAAGTGCGTTTCTTGTCGCAGCTTCAGCACCTGGAAAACGAACAATGAGGAGCCTAGGGCTCATGCGGACCTCGCTGCAACATTGTCATTGTCCAGCAGTTTGCTGTCTTGAAAGTTTCTTGAAAAATCCTGCTCTCTAGTCAAGTCTCCTATTTTGGCAAGCAGGGAGAGAAGAGACGGAGAGAAGGGGGAGATTGCAGTCTTACAGTAACAAGGGCATTACTACTAGTAGCTAGAAGCTACTAGTAGCCATGCACTTGTTATTAGTAGTATATAATGGGTAGATGGGACTCCGCTTCCACCCAGTTGCCTGGCCTTCAACGCATCTGGGGAGTAGTCACTCCGCTGCAGATCCTGGATCCACGCCTTGCCCAGTCGAAGAGATAGGTGAGCTGAACACGAAGGCGCCCAAATAGAAAAGCTTGGGAATAGAAAAGGAAGAGAGGTCCAAGACATGGTCTGAACATGTACTGTTCCATATACCTGTATTGTTCTTTGTGGGTGGGCACTATGGTGACCGTAGACAAAAACCCTTTGTGACCACAGGCCGGCCTCTAGTCTTCACAGCAAGCCAAAGATTCATAAGATTCTAAGGCCCCTGCCGGCGGTGGTATACGCCGCAAGGGACCACTGTAGTCATTCCTGGGTCAAGAAACCAATGCTATTAATTAGTTAAGTGTCCCTAAAACTCTAGAAACCAAATCGTTAGAGCGGGTGCTATCCTGCGTCCTAAGCAGTAGCTACCTAGCTACTACTAGCTACCTCTAGCTACTACCTACTTCCTACCTACCTCTACTCACGGCCTACCCCCGCCCAAAAGAAGAAAGCCAGCACATGTGTGCACCGAATCCTGGAACTTGGGAAAGCAAAAAGTGCGGTTTGAGCGATCTACAAACGGAATTGTCCTGAAATGCCTGGTATGACCAATCTTCTCACATAGGACCTATAGAAGGGGCCACATTGAAATGTCGATGTTCAAGGCCGCCCAAGGCCCCGGCCCCACACGTTGTCCAGCCCATCCCTCATCATGGCCCATGACCCTATCCGATGATGCACAGCTCCGGAGGCTCCTGGGCCTTCGCTCTTATGGGGCACAACTGACGATATCCGAAGGCCGTCTTGTTAACATGAGTTGTTTTTGTGATATCCCTCCGCAGAAGCTAGAGTACATATCAAAATCAAATAGTGACCGCGTGCTTCTTCCTACCTGCCCTGCACTATGCACAGGGCATCCACTATCTTCTCTGCGCAGAAAAGGGTGGATCAAGTATCCATGTCGGTAGGCCAAACTCGCTTCTGAGATTCTGCTAGTATGTCCTTCAAAGCTCCATATTATCCATGCTGCTTGTGAAGCAAAAATGTCCTGATCTGATCAGCTGGCTGGTCAAATAACACAAACGTCAGGCACACTTGGATGCTGACCTCACCTGCAACCAAGATGAGGTACAAGACTTTTCCATCTGCGGCGGCATCATGCTTATTTCCACAGAGGCTGGCTTCTAGTATTCTGACTTGGCTTCTGGTTTGCACCAGTGCCTCATGGAAATCTGCATGTCGCTGAGCCACACCCACAGTGGCTACAACCATCTCACTCGAGGCATGACTCACTGGAAAAATCAAAGCTTCGGGCCTCAGGAATACTGTCAGGACTTACAGCGGGCCAAACAACACTAGCCTAGCTGTTTGCAGAATACGGCCAAATATGCGTGTGCATCGGTGACCAAAGTTCGTGGCCCCCGGTTTGGGCCTTTCAAATGTGCGTCAATGCCAGTGTAAGCCAATTAGGTCAGAGCAGGGTGCTCTGCGTGCAAAGGGATCCGTGAACCGAATTATTACAAGCGCAAGCAGCAGCATGCGCACATGCCACTGGCCCAGGAATGGCAAACCATGGAAAATACATGGCTGAAGGACAAGCTTTTCAACAAGTCTTCCCCATTGTCGCTCAAATTTGGACACTAGGTTCCCCTCCCACCATTTCCTGGACACTCTAGATTAAAAAACCACAACTGAGGCAACACTGCACCTATTTCAGCTCTCTCAGCACCTACTTTTTCAGCTTCAAGACTCGAGACACTAGAAACATCCCTGTTCCTGTCGAATTCCTGTCAGCTTTAGTCGAGCTGAAATGGCACACCTAGCACACTCCACTCGGCACGAAGGGCAAAGATTGGTGCACCAAGTACCTCAAAAAGCATGAATATGATATGTACTACAATCTTATATAGTGATTTCTTCACATCAAACATATGAGCAGAGTACGGCGTGCTAGAAACTCCAGTGCTTTGGACAGCCCTGCGCTGTACCTACCGTTCGAAACCTGAAACCTGCAAAAACCACTGGAAAGGAAACTTACCACAGCAGAAACGGTGACAATGCTCCATCCAACCACTGCACACCTCCTCTCTCTCTCACTCTCCCTCTCTTTCACCTGAGGTCCCAACCTACTTCTTGGCCCTGGCGACCGCCCAAGTGCTTTCAAGCACTTTCAATGCGTAGAATGTTGACAGTCCTACTGGTTTCGGTCATACTGTCACACTCAATGGATTCGCAAGCATGGTAATCGTCGCATCTTCTCTGGTTCCGATCTGGACATTCTATGCTTGAGTCATTGAGTCATTTTGCGTCGAAAGCTTGTGTTCCCTCATAGTTCTCTTGAATACTTTTAGATTGCAAGCCTTCTTTCAATTGACGACGGACACTTCCAATTCCAATCCATATCCAGATCTCGTTGCACCCAATCCCGGCGGCTCCGCTTCTTTTTGAGATGCTTCACAATTTTCCCGGTGACCGGGTTGATGAAGCCATGGGCATCAATGGTACATCCGCACCTGAAAACGGATGAAACTGCAAATCCACACATCTTTACAGTTTGAACCCTCAATCAGCCAGTTGTTGATTGGCCCCTTCAGAACTATACAGCAATGAGTTTGACACACCAAAGCTCCAAATGGTGCTGTGTCTGCAAAGCCAACTGTTTCGCAAGTCCCTTCGCTAAAGACTGGATGGCACGTGTAGGTGTCTGTCAGAATCGCAAGGCACCTTGGAGGAACACAACCCACAACCTGTGTGACTCACGTGGCTTGGCATAGATCATTCACTTACTGACTTGGCATAGATCAGCATTCCACACATTGACGTGTACCATGGTTCTGTCCTTGAGACATCTTCGACTGTCTGGTTGCTCTAGGTTGGAAATAAGAACAGACCAGTTGGTGCTCCGTCTACAAGACCCACACTTTCAAGAATCCCGAAGAAGAGTTCATCAATTCTGCAATTCTAGCTCTACCTCCAAATGAAGCCACACAACGATTATGAGAGAAGTCCTTCATCTAGGGCTCAAGCTTGAAGCAAAACCGTGTTCCGCAGTTCCTGCAGCCTCATTTGTTCACATGGAGATCCTGGAGCCCAATCTCTCCGCATCTCTCTACCTTTCATCATCGAATCAAAAAAAGAAGTTCTGTCAGTCCAGGGCCCTGGCTCATCTTGTGGCACTCGGAGTACTGGGTCTGCTGCCGATCCAAATTCTGCTTAGTCACCTGGCTAGAGGTACTGTAGGCTAGAACTGCGATGAGATCCGCAGCTTGCTTTGACTGGCAGATACTCTGTGGATACGTCCCCAGTCAAACACAGTCAAACACAGCCGCAAATCACCTGACCTTCGGTGCAGAGAAAAACCTATTGGTGATACTTGTGCGTCACCCAGACCAAGACATGAATGAAGGCCTGGACACACACACACACACACCCTTTCCCAACAGCAACCTCTGCATTGGTGAATATCTTGATCCATGGGGAGAGAATTGTGTCAGCTTGTGGATGTATCCCCAAAGGTGACCTCCAGGATGGGTGCTTCCAGGATGGATGGGTGAAGACTCTGAAAACTGAAGCTACTAGGAGCAAAGGGCATCGCTACTAGGGGCAAGAAGCTACTAGGGGCTCCTGGCCTTACTACTGGGAGCAAGAAGCTACTAGGAGCAAAGGGCATCGCTACTAGGGGCTCTAAAATTTCATCTTCCTTTCTTATTGTTCTCCCCCTCCCCTCTCCCAGCGCACCGCCATGCGGCATCTGGGGCACTGTTTGGTGCCGGTCTCTTCCATCCATTGCTCAAATAGCTGATCTGCCTCGTGGCACTTCAAGCTGCATGTTCAGTGGACAATATTCTGGACAACAATGTCATCGCCAACTGTCACAGTTCTGAACTGTCACGCCTGTCGCTCTTTCTTCGCAGCCTTGGTGTTGTTCCTCATCTTTTCAGCGTACTCCTGGCGGCTCCAGGTTTTGTTGTTTGATTCGTTTTGATTTGTTTCTTATTCTGCCAAAAAGCAAAGAACAAAAGCAAGACTTTTCGGGTTCCGCCTCACAAGTCAGACCTCTGTGAAAGGGTTGCCGACCACATTGGATACCTGGCAAACAAACCCGAAACTGATCCAAGTCCAGGCCAGCAATCTGTGGCAAACCACTTGGGGACGAAGCTATTGGAGGTCTCATCCTCCATAAACTTCTACTGTTAATACAAGCCTCGGTTGCATATCTTCATGCCATAAAAGCCAAGACATACACTCTAGCTGCTTGATAGTGCTATGAAGTATTGACTCAATGTGCAACCGTTAATTGATGTTAAGACTGCTTCAAAGTCTTCCAACATTCCAACAGGCAAGGACCCCCAACATAGCCAGCTGCACATGACTCTTTTTTGCACATAGTGCACTTGAACCTTCAAGAGCGATCACTTCCATCTGAATGCAAAAATCACATTCATCTAAACGCAAAATGTACGAGGCTGCAAATGTATGGATTGCAAGTGGGACCTCGTAGTGCCTCCCTCCTCCATGGCAACTCGCATAGGACAATTCCTGGAAACACCAGATTGCTCATCCGTCCAGATATTTCTTCCAACCCTAAGAACCTGGCCTCGCTACTAGGAGCAAGGACGCTACTAGGGGCTCCTGGCCTTACTACTAGGAGCAAGAAAGCTACTATTCTTCCAACTTTGGGGATGTGGGAACCTCTAAGGACCCCTCAGGTTCTGAGCTGCAGCACTGCAGAGAAGTATGGCGCTCTGAGGTTTGGTCGGCGTGGGACAGGCCCGGATGTCTTCGGCACAAGACACCGCTTGTTCCAGGCTTCTGGCCTGACCGAAGAACGAAAAATTGAACAAATTTGGGAGATTGGCTGGTCGAAAGACTCCTCAGGACCACTTCCTCAACCAAAAATAGGGTGGTCCGCACCGGGCGTACCTTGAACTCTGCCTGCTTCAACAATCCAAAACAGCTCAACCTGCCCGACCTAGACTAAGTCAATCAATCCAACAACAGCTTTAAGCATGGATGACTAGTTCACTAGTAATAGATCCTTCCATCTAGACTTTTACAGTTGCTGTTCTACGCCTGGTCGGCTATCAGGCGGCTATCGGCTCAAACGGTCCCCGCCAGAAGACGGTCGATGGTCTCAGTCGGCAACAGCTTCCTCGAGACAGGCTCCAACATGTGTGGAGCGACTGCACCAAGCATGGAGCAATGCACTCGTCATATTCCGGACAAATATGCAGGCTCCACAGTATGGCTAGTGCTACTGAGACTGCATCAAAAAGGTATTGATTGTATCTCTACTCAAAGAATACACACATTCAATACAACAGATTTAAATACCACACACAAGTCTCCAAGCTGTCCTGAGATCCCGCTCAGCCAGGATTGAGGAGCACTCTGGACCTCAGCATGGACATGCTTGCTCCCCGCCATCTCTGGAACCAAACAAGTGGAGTCAATCCGCTGAAAGCTTTGAAGCTTGGAACAACTGGAACAACGAACGGTATTGGTTGTATTAGCTGTATACAACTAACCGGTATGTTTTTAGAGTTGTATTGGTTGTATTTGCTGTGATGTACCCATCCACCTTGCATGCCCTGCTTCTCTGGGCAAGAAGGCACGTAATGGAAGCAGCCCCCATCTCCAAACGAGCCTCTCCAGCAAAAAAAGCAGCAGCTAACAGCAAGCACAAAAGGTGTCATGCTAATGGAATCTGATGGACTTATATATATATATTCTTTCTTGTGCGCTGGTCTGGAAAGCTCCTCAGGTTCATCTCACAAGCAAAAGTTCCCGAAGCAAAACTGCCATGTTGTTTCTGAGCCTCTGCGTGGCGCAACATACAGGATGCCTGGGTAGTGTCGGAACTTAACTTGACCATCAGGAAGGCATGGGATGATGTCCACGGAGGTCATAAAAAAGAACTTGGTAGATGTCCATCGAGCTAACCCACCTTACTGTAGTCCTAGAAAGCAGTATGACTCAGATCCGCCTTGTCTAACGTTGTCAAAGTCGTCGCTTCTTGGGTGCCCGACACAGTACCAGCCATGGCTACATGCGAGCCGCACCGAATGCCAAGGGGAAGTGTCGCAGCAGCAAATCTGACAGCTTCAAACAGGAGCACTTGGACCCTCTCATCCTCTCCAACCATGGTCGACAATGGCATCGTTTCATCATTGTCTTAATCCCAAATAGTAGGTTGCACGAAGTCTTACATTGCAAGAATAAAAAGCTTGTTCTTTGCTGAGTTGTCACCCGCTGGTCCGGTACCTTGCACACATCCGCTTGGCTGTTGAGCTGCATGTCTGGCCTCAGCAAACTGTAGAAAGTTTGTATTGCTAATCATAAATGTAGAAAGAAAGCCAGTAAGCAAAAATGACGATTTCTGACATCAAATAGTCAACCTGTGTCAGGTGCTGAGGGATTACGGTGCAGGTCGCTTCAACATTTGATAGAGTCTCCGAGTCTCCTGATTTTATAGGCCACTCCAAAACCTGTTTAACGCCACCAACTGCGCAAACTCACATCTTCTTACTTTCATCTTCTTTCGATCCGTGCGGGGTGAAGCAGAACGCACACGTTTTGTTGACGCTCGAGATCCGCATCGCCGTCCCTCTTTGGCCCAGGCTGCGTCGAACATCTGCCCGGGCTGCGGCCATCCACCTATGCTGGCTGAGGTCCACTGCGCACCAGCGAAGCTTCCTCTTTTGGTCTCACACTAACAGAAAGAAGAATGCATTCTTGCATGCCAGACCTAGAGAACAGCTCAACTTTCTGTGCAAGACTACCCTCCCCACAAAATGCATTCCTATCCAGCTGTTATTTGTATTTGTTTCTCTATATAGATGCTTTGTGAGGAATTTGCCCAGCACAGACCCTGCATCGTCGGGCCGCTGCACAGTATGGGTACACACGGAACAAGCGACATAGCCCGGACACCGCCCAGCACCCCACTTACGCCACAAAGCCTGATCCCAATGCACACAGCCTCTCAAGAAGTGCGACTCGTGTTGCTACAGTAGCCAAACACAGGGCTGACCCTGCAGTGAAGCGCAACCACTGTCGCGGACACAGGACACAGCCCAACACAGCGGCACGCCGCCGGACACAGCCAGACGCAGCTAGACACAGCCGAACACAGCCTGACGACCAACTGCAGGTGGTTCGTGAAGAGAGAACCCCCAAACAACTCCCAACGTTTCCCAACCATGGGAAAAGACTTCAAAAAAATGTTTATTGGACCCAATGTCCGCACCATATCAGTACTCCACCCAAGCCATTCAAGATGCCATTCAAGCACCCAAAGGCAAGCCGGAGGTGCTGAGGATCTGGAGGGGGTGGGAACCGAAGCCATGGCAGAAGCTCCCTCCTGACGGCGGCAACTGCAGCCGCTGAGAGACCGTGAAAACGTTTCCAGCGCCTGAACACGGATTTTCACGCTGAAGCCAAACAGTCTTCGTTTAAGAAAGATCAAAATGTCCATGGCCTTTCCTGGAATCCAGTTGTGATTCTGGTTATGCAACAATTGTGATGCTTCGAAAGGTTTATGCCAAACAATCTCAATCTCTTCGTAGGATTGCCGTGCAGCACCGAGTACATAGAAGGCCCTTGTTCGACATATCATGAGTGAATTTTCTTTTCCCCAAACATCTCCCATAGCTATTAGGTTGGAGGCCATCGCTGATAGGTTAGAGGGGTTGGAGGCCATCGCTCTTAGGTTGGCGTAGCCCTTCTGAAGGGCTTCTTCTCACCAATGCGTCACATCTCAGATCTACGGAGGCCATCCGAGTCTCCACCGGTTCCTGCCGCATCTTCTTCACACCATCACCCTGCCGTTTGGAGCTCACGAGTGTTTGGATAGCCCCGTTCAAAGCATAAATTCTAAAGGGGTCATTCCCAAAGTCGCGCATCTGCAACAAACGTCCAGCTGGGCTTGTTGGTTCATCTGAGGTGATGTCTTGCAAATCCTCTGGATTCTTCCGGAAATTCAACAGAGAGAAATCCATGCCTTGCCTGTGCTGCAGGTCTTTTTCTCGGAGTCTGTGACACGGACCCAGCCCTGAAGCCAAAGGTGGACAGGTCATGAACCACCCACAAGACGGCCAATCTCACTCCACTTCAAAACCAAAAAGGTCTTCAATTATATTCATGTTTTTCCTCGTCTCTTTTGCTCCAGCCTCTTCTGTCTTCAATTATATATATATATATATTTACAGTATGTATACATGGGTGTGTCTCAGAACAAAATTTGGCATTGGACACCATCAGCTAAAGGAAGGCTAGACAAAGTCCCTTAGGTTGTGTCGCTCCATTTGAGATCAAGCCAGTAAACCTAAGGGCTTCGACGAGACAGTCTGCGTCCACAAAATCTGCCTGCCTGAAATGCACCAAATACTCAGCAACTTCAGGGCACTCAGGCCTGGATGCAGTGGCACACCCGCCAGTGCACTAGCACATCTTTGGGATGCTCCAACAGGTGGGTCGGTCACCATGTGGCCTTGCTCCTAGTAGCGATGCCAATTGCTCCTAGTAGCTTCTTGTTCTTATCAGTAAGGCCAGGAGCCCCTAGTAGCGTCCTTGCTCCTAGTAGCGATGCCCTTTGCTCCTAGAAGCTATGCTTCCTGATCAACTAGGAAAGTTTCCAACCCCAGCAAGTGAAGAGCTTCTGGTCAGTGCTCCTGCTCAGAAAAGGGTTGTCATCGTACCCAAAAATCAAAATTGTGAAGACACAAACACAACGACCCAACCACATATGCATTCAACACACAGCTCAAATCTGAATCTGCTCTCAGGCGTGCTATCATGATTCGAGAAAGTCTTGTGCCCAGAAGCCTATTGAATATGGAATTCGCTCTTAGGTTGGAGGCCATGGCTAGTAGGTTGGAGGCCGGAGAGCCTAAAGCAGCCAAGAACGGCCCGTCCCTTGAGGCCACAGACCGCAGGATATTCAAATAGGCCTCAAGCCTCAAGTGACGCCGTTGTTTGAGACTCGAGCGAAGGTGAAGTCAATGCATGAGCACACCATTCCTTTGCACCAACTTGTCATGTATGTCAACTCAAAAGAAATTGACATTGTCCCACAGAGCAGCCTGCTGAAATCTTGTTGAATCGTGTGTGTGTGTGTACATTTATATATATATATATATATCAATTGAAGTGAAATGTTGGTTTCTGCAAAACTGCAGAACTTTGACCAGCCTAAGATTTTGGTAGATCTTTGGCCAGCGAGCAGCTGCCTGGATATGGATTCATCTCAATTCTTGTGAGAAAGTCTGAAAGCCTGCTTAACCCCGAAGCCCGGGCGATGGCAAAACCACAAAAGCACTGTCTGGCTTTTCCACCGTTCCGGCTGTCATGGCTCATGAACGCAAGCAAAGAAATTATGCAACCTGTACGGCGTATCTTCTGCCAACACAAAGGAGTATTGCTTCCGGTAATTCACCTTCCATGTGGTGGATAAAAATTACAGTTTCTTTTCTCTGTCGTTGTAACATGTTGTGACAGCTTTCCTTGCAGCTAGTGCAAATACTCCAACATCTCCGAACAACATCCGACAAACTTGGCCTCCTTCCACCACTTCAAACCCTGATCGTTAGGCTCAATCGCACGCACTTCAGCAAGAGATGGTGAAACAGCCTCCAAGGCTGGCCGGTCTCTTTTTAGGCCGTGGCCCGTTCGGTACTAAACAAGCTCCTAGATACTAAACACGCTCTTACCTAGGACGCAGGATAGCTCACACTATTCATTTGGATCCTAGAGTTTTAGAGGAACTTACAGTAACTTAACTTAGCAAGTGAGTCGTAAGCAGGTTTGACTTTGATTGCTGTTTCTCACTTCTGGGGTCACTTGCCAAAAAGCAACCACTCTCCCAGGTCAGCCTTGCACGGGGATTCAGAATGCGACCTGGCAGGTTGCTCACGAAAATGAAGTAGGATGGCATCTTCGCTTAACAAACCAGTCACATTCAGCCAAACGGATGTATACTTTATACTGGAACCAGGCAATTCCAGCTGCAGCATTGAGATGGCAAAGCTGCTCTGCGAGAAGATAATGGAACAGTTTCTTGGGCAGCATTTGGCCGAGCAGCATCTGAACGTTGGTCTCCTCCACAGGTGTTGGAGCAGCCACGCTCTGGTCCCCTCCGCAAAGAAGCGGAACAGAAGCTGATAATCTGACATTAATTATACAACTGCAAGCTAAAGGCTAAAAATGTGTGATTCACCTCAATTGATTCTGCCTGGCATTATACACACACCTTTACTGCAATCCTTGCGATCCTTTACTGTAGCTAGTTCCGCATATCCCATCTCCCACCTGACGCCGTTCCGTCCGCCATTTCGGAGGGCGTAGGCCTTGAGAGGATGGAGGATGTCCTCCACCTCTGGGACCGTCGTCTGACCCGAGACGACTGGAAAGAGTCAATCCAGTCCAAGATCTGTTATATAATAGTGCTTCTATTTTACGTCTGAATCTCAAAATTTCTACCTGATCTTTAAAGGGATAACATTCAATACTTCTTGGACTGAGTTGTTCTTGCTCGAGATTTCCTGGAGCAAAATACCTCCAGAGTTGTGCTTTTCATTGCACCTCAAAAGTCATCCATCTGTGAATCACCACATCAGGAGATCCACCACAGAGCTTCAAGACTGTCATACTGTGGTTATGCCTACCTACAAAGCAACGAAAAACAAGTCCGGCGTCTTCCTCCTTGGCTGTGTAGCAAACAATCTTTATACTATACAATTCTTGCTTGCGTTCCTGCTGGAAAATTTCACTGAAAGAAGAATGGTTTCGTCTCGTGCTGGGGCAGACACGCCGAGGATCCAGTTTCCTGCCAATGTACTCTGTGTGAACAAGTGGAAGGAATATCCGTTTGCAATTTCTCCCATGTTGACTCACGCAACACATATAGCAAATAAAGCAAATGCTCCACTCAAATCTAGCTTTGATCAAGATCACTACCCTGGGACTGGAATCCGTCAGTAGAGCCACCTCTGACTTGGCTTTAGGCCGCTCAAGCACTCGCTGTAGCAGCGCGGAGTGGCCCGCCATCAAGGCCATCTGGAAATGAAGTCTCTCAAGCTTCCAAAAGAAAGACAGAAGTGAATTCATCTATTCTCGTTGACAAGGCAAGCTGTAGGTCCCAAATATTCAGAAACACACATGGTATATAAGCATGAGAACGGAAAGCTGCTGCTGACATCATAACAGTCACAAAGTGGCTTGACAAGCATGGTCTCACCCTTGCCTCTGGCTAAGAAGCAAATGCAATCAATGTGATGATCTCTCCGGTTCATATGTCGTAGTGTAATGGTGGCACGTATCCCCCCGCATAGATTTCACGTCGTCTTGTATGTCTATCGGGCATCTATCTATACTCTGTACATGCTCCACTGCTAACCTACTCGGATGGCCACAACCTCTTCAAGAGGTGAAATTCCCGTAGACGCACGTGTGGGCACGGCACCCTCAGCAAAGGCAAGAAAGGGTTCAAGGTATAACTGTAGCTGGATGCACCAGATCATTTCATACCCACAAGAAACATGAAAAAGCCGTTGCAGTTCAAGATCTTCCAATTGGAGTGCCATCTGCTTCTCTGCATCGCGTCAGAAACGTTCAGCCCCTGCTTTTGACCTGTGGCCTTGGCGGGTGCTTTCTTCCCTGTGGCCCGCCGACGAGGCCTGAATTGTCGGCAGGACGCTCAATGATGATTGGGGCCCTTGAGCTTGTCATCCAGAAGGTTAGAAAGGCACTGCCGCAACAAAACCACTCTTTACTAAGCAGGGTTTGGATGGCTCGATGCTTGTTTTAGCTGTGGCCGTGTAGCTCCCCAAGACCCAAAGAATCCACTATGTATTTGTACAAAAGGCGTACCAAGTCTATTGCTTGCGCCGTGTAACTCCACCAGCCCCGCCTCTCTATCATTTGGTGTGCCGTTCCTGGCACCTCGGCATGTTGAAAGGGAAGTTTCACACTGTGCCTAAGACTTGTTTTGCCTCCAAGGTAATTCTCACAATATGAGCCAGGAAGCAGCTCTCAAACTCCATCCAAGCGCAAAGTTGGTGCAGCTTAGCAAATGAATAACAAGATCAAATCATGTAAAGTTTGTTCTTTGTTCACGGAACATCTTCTCAAACATCCACCGAATTTGCACCTTGGACTCGAGAAAACTGATTGCCTGACATGTCCAACGAGGCAACTGTCCAACTCCCAACAACAAGGTGCCTGCAATTGACATTCCAACGATCAACCTGAAAGTCAGCACAAATATGCAATACACTCACAATCAACGATTTTAACCCGCCTCCTCCAGTGAGGAGCAAGCCTGAAGTGCTTCTTCCACTCGAGCCTGAAAGAAGGCATGCCAACTGCCAGCAATCGGAAAAATGCCTCCTGCTTTTAGCGCACAAGAGAGTCCCAAAGAGCCTCCGGATAGCCCCTTTCAACGAGAGCCACAGCAACTTCCACAGTGCTGGAGTCACGCACCATGGCCTGCATATTCCGAACCACTCTACAGACTGCAAATTTCCAAGGACGTTTGCATTGAACGTGGTGGCCATTTTGGAGACTCCTTGCAATCCTCTCCCACTGAAACGAAGGATTGCTAATTGGGGTGGGCGGCAGCTCATTGATATTGCAAATGCTCTACATTGTCAGGTTGCAAACATTCCTTGGTTGTACAAAATGTAAAATACAATACAAAACTCAAACGCAATCATCGAAAATGATCCAAAATGGTAGCATCTGTGGAAATAAATTTGGCAACCCAAAGCACCCCTGAGGCACCAGGCTCTCACAGACCTACTCAACTCCTGTTGAATTGAACCAAAACACTGTAACTGCGATGGTGGAACCGTGGTGCACTCATCTGGGTGATCTTCTCTTTTGTGCCAATAGCAAGTGCCAAAAGACATTGCGACAAGACTAAAAAATCAAGTGTTCCGGTCCAATACCATGGATATGTTTGAATATTGAACGCATCAAACCATTGGGGTAACATTTTTGAAGCATAACCGCAAAAAAATAGATCATGTGTTTGTTGAAGAGGGGTGCGACATGACTTACTTGTCAAAATATTCCATTTGGTTATGTCCGAACTTTTCCTGATACTCAAAGAGCTGCGGTCAAGTGAGAAATGACAGATATGCTGTACAATCATACCTATGATCTATGTTACAAACTATTCACATTCCTTCTCGGTAGTGTGAGGGTTCATCAGCTCTTTCAGCTCACTCTTCCACCTGCATAGGTCTGGTCTGTTTTTCTCTAAGGAACGGGGTTCCTTCAGATATCCATTGCTGTGTCTTCTGGGTTACCTAATCTTGTTTCTATCTCATCTAGTGTCATGTGGTATCGATTTCTTTCATGGTCAACTCTATCTATCTGCTAGTTCAAACAGTCCTCTTCCTTTTAGTACCCAATGTTTTTGGCTCGAGCTTTCGATCTTTCTTTGAAGTCGTCCACATAGCTGATTCGTCTGTTCTTCTTCGCATTCCTCCCTGTTCACATATTTTGCGTTTCCTGGTCTGAATCGTCTTGGTCCTCGTCCATCTGTAGGAACTGCTCCTTGGGTGGCTGCTTTTAGCATCACAGTATGTCCATGATACTGTCCCCTTGTTGACCTCATGTCCTCTAAGCTCCTTCGGGCTAAGTAGTTTCCTGCACTTGTCTGTGCGATCATGTCAAAGCTGATTCTTGATTTCACAATCACTCACCTTTGCACAAATGAAACCTCCCTGAATTTCTGTTCGATGTTCCATATACCTCCTTAGTCTCCACACTGCGAAAGTCATTGTTGCGAAGCCGATGATAATGATCATGAATTTTGTGGTTTTCCAATTTGCATTGGAATCTTCTATTTCCAACCTGCACTGGTCAATCTCTCTCATGAATGTGCTTGCTTCTGTAACCATTGGCTGCAAGCCTTCAAAAGTCACGACTCTGACAATCATCTTGGCAATGTTGTTGACCTTGCCTGCAAAGTTCTTTCTCTCTTCATACGCCTATCTCTCAAGCTCACTAAGGCTCATCAAGAATCTGATTCTCTGGCCTCCAAGTGGCTTGGTATGCATGTCTGCCATGCTGCTGCCTGTCGGTCTACTTGTACCATATTGAAATTTTTCTGCTCTGAATCCACAGCAACTTTCCATTAAGATGTCTCACTGGTCCCAAGCTGGCACGCACTCGAAGAATCTGTGAAGATGTAATGGTTCACCTTTGTCCCAAGCGCAAACTCAAGAACTGAACAAAATGCACATACCATCTGAAGCTGAAGAAAAACTACTGCGCGCAGCTCTGCCTCACATGAAGATAAGCTGTCCTGCTGCTATTGAACAATGGACAACTGTTCAATGCATGGAATCCTCCTGGTGTTGACTTCCTATGGCTTTTGTTCCCGCTCAAATCTGAGTCTGAGAATGTCTCTAGGAACCAATAGTGTTCATCTTTCTTCACGTAGCCTTCTCCTGCTTGTGGAATTTCAACTACTAGACAACAGCCCAAAGTTTTCTTCAGGTATCCTAGAAACTTCTTCAAGTGATGAAAGGACATCGTTGTTGGATTTGCAAGTTCCCAACCATCAACGCTTCTGATTAGGCTGATCTTCTCTTGATCATTCAAGATTTTTCACTTTGTCCTCCATCTGCATTGAGTTGTCTGATGGTAGCGGTTGAAGTTTGATCTTTCCAACTCGTTCTTCATACGCCGTCAGCGTCTGCTGGATGTAGTTACCTGGTTGAATCGCAGGGAAGCAGCACTATTTGTGCAAACTTGACAGGCGACAACTATCTAAAGTGCTTTGCACTGATCACAGGTCACAGTGGTAGCATCGCTCACTATCGCTTGGCGCGATAGAGACATGAGTACCGCTGTTTTCCACGGCCAGAACCATGTCGCCCTATCCGGCACCTGTGCATTCGACCTGCAGCTTTCCCTTAGATTGGCTATGACTTTGCCCTACACCAATGAGCCTTGATCAATAGCCAGAGCACTGATTTCAACAAGGGCTCTGGCACTGGCCTGTTCCTACAGGCCAACTGTCCTCCTCTTTCGCAAGAACATGCTAGCAAGACTTGCTTCGAAGCTCATACCAGAATTCATCGCCCAAGTACAACGAAGTCATAGTTCAGTCTCACTCATGTTTCACCCGATTTGAATCTCCTCCTCTCTCGGTCTGCCTGTGGGTGTTTTGGTTTGTTTGGCTTGTTTGGTTGGTTGTGGTTTCTTTTGCTTGTTTTGCTCCTTCGAGAGTACTTGGAGATTCAAACCTTAGTCAAAGATGACCTGCGCACCATGCACACATGGCGTCTCCACTCGCGCAAAAGAAAAATCTGGGGGGCACCTCCCAAGGCTTGCGCCGTGTTTTAGACATGCATGCATTGGCGCAAAACGAGAGAAGGCCATAGCGCCAGAAGGCTGGCTCCGCATAGAGGGCGAGCTCTGCATTCTCCATATCAGCGCATTGCGTATTGTCCTGCCGAAGGAAGGAAAATAGTTCGGCTAGAGGGGTAGCGACGGCATCACAGATGCCATCCACATCCCTATGCACTTCTTGCACCACCTCTCTAGGTAAGTCTACGAAAGCATGGCCTCGGAAGCTCAGTTCGGCGAGGCGTCGGAACAGGGTGATCCGCAGTAGTACGCTGACACGCCGAATGGAGACACTCATACGGGCAAGGGGCATGGCATATAGATTGTAGGGGGAGGTTCACCAGGCTGGTGCGGATTGCAAATGGATCAAGCCATCACACTTGCCTCAAGCATACTGTGAAATGATTCGATCTCTGTCTGGATCTCGCGAAGAACATCAATCAACCCATCAATCGAAGGTTTCTTGACAGTGAACTTCAAAACAAGCTCTCTGTAGTAAAGGGCCTCCTGCCTACTGTAAATTGAGAACTCACGTCGAATCAATCTGAAAAGTTCATAGCCATTTGCATCAGCTGCCCCTCGGGCCATGATTTGATTTCGGATCATGTTTTCAATCTTGGGGTATCCTGTAAAGGCCTGCTGAATCAGATGGAAAAGTCGCCTTGCCCTGAGCTCCTGATCTGCTCCTCGCAAGACAATTGGCTCTTCCATGCGAAGTGCCTCCCTCAATTCTGGGCCATATTGATCATGTATGAGTGCCAGCCAACCTCCTACCTTCTCTGCCCAATCCCTGAACCCTGAAAGTTCTCGAGACCTGCTAACCCACTGCTTGAACGAAGGTAGTGGCATTGCTGGGGTCCACTTTGTGTCCATTGTGAGTCGTTCACGTTCAGGGACTCCAACAGGTGGTTGCTGGGGTTGTTGTGGCTGTTGTTGTTGGTTTCCCCGTCTCATAACATCGATCAAAGTCTGTCCCAATTGCAGCTGTTGTTGCATCAAACTTGCCAAAACTGGATCTACTCCCTGAGCTTGTGGGGGATGAGGTGGTGGAATGTTCCAGTCCCAGTTTGGTGGAAATCCATAGGTGGCATCTCGTCCCTGTCCAGATCCTCCAACACCAGAAACATCTTGTGAAGACCTACCACCATCTCCTGACTGTCCTGCAGTCACCCCATCTCCAGAATGGCCTGAAAAATCTCTATAAGGCTGACTCATTGGATTCACAGAACGAACTGATGTTGTAGTTGGTCCATACTGAGCCCACAACGCCTGAGTCACATCTCGCTGGCTTCCAGGACCAGAATGCCAACTCTGCCAAGGATCTCTCGCTTGCAAAGGGTCAAAAGTCTGTGAAGACTGACATGCATACGGTGGTCCAACACTCAAACCAGGCGCGTTCGCCAAGGAAGGAACCAAAGACGAACTAGGTACCACACTTGTATGATCTTGACCTTCTGCACTTGGACTCATTGGAAACATCTGAGGTCCAGGGCTCACTCCAGGCGGACTCGAGGCTTCAGCCGGTGGTCCAAGCGTCACAGCTGGACTCGTTGGAGTCGTATTCTCCATGGCTCACAAAAAGGCTCAGAGAAAACCCTACAAACAGTTCTCCTTTCTCTCAAAGCGTCTGCCCCTCACCCTTAGGATCCTCGCGGCTCCGCTACCATGTGAAAACACGGAAGCGAGTGCGACCCCTTTTTGAATCCCGCTCTTGAGCCAAACATAACAGTCGGTTTGACTGTATGTCTGTTCGTCCACTCTTCTCTGAAGAGGTCTGACTGGTCACAGTCGTCCAAAACATACTAAAAGTCCAAGAAAGCATCTCCAAACACTCTCAAGCAAAGCTAGGCTATACACAGCTCATCTCAAGCACTACAGCTCTATACTTAGGGCTTCTCTAGACATGCTCCAAGCCACTTCAGGTCACATTCCACCTAGTCCTGCTAAGGTGGTCAAAGAGAACACACTCCAAGGAGAAAGATCCCTACTCAGCTCCAACCCCAAGGACAGAAGGCTCTGCCAAACCGGGCCTTAGCTCACCAAAAGCCCCCGAGCACCTCCCCAGTATCCCTGAGCAAGACCTATTGCGGGCATTATAGGCCCACCAGCAAGCGCAGACGGGAGTGTCCACAGGATTGCTGGACTTAGCACCTGCTCGCCCAGCACCAGCGGGTGCAGCTGACCCACAAATGCCGGAACCAACTATAAGGAACAGTATCCCAAAGCGGCTGAGACAGCCAAAGAGCAGTGAGACAGAGTGAAACGTGGGGCGATGAATTCAACCTTGGCACTCAGTACTTGACCTTCCTGTCGTTTCATGTCCTTTCCTGTTTTCTTTGTTTGCTTTGTTTTCTTTGCTGCCTGCACCCAGTGCTCGAATTCATGGTGGGTGTAGACGCAAAACCAGGCAGGTTTCATGGCCGTGTGCCCTGCAATCCCAAGGTTGACGAAACCTTTCCAAAAAGGCAGG